ACACACACACACTCTATCCCTAGCTCATGAGTCTGAAAGTAAGGACATCAAGGCCTTGATGACTGAACGTATCACAAAGCGTTTGATGAAGTTGGCTTTGGATTTAGCTGTGGGTGAAGCTGCGGCTCCGAAGGAAGCAGGTGGAGCACATCAAGCACCACCTGTCAAGCTACATCTCAGACACGGAACACATCAAGCCGCTCAGCACGCCACATAGTCGACAAGAACCTGGGAAAAAATCATCCTCAAGCTCAGATTGCTTGATGCAAGTGTTTCTATCCAACACTGTTGGATATCCCCTTCTGGGTTGTAGAACGCGACTGTTTTCATGGCACTTCCCACTTGGAATCATCCCAGTTCCAGTAGATCAAAGAGCCAGTCGAGCCCGTACAGGTCAAAGAGCCGAGCGACTTTTGGACTCGATGCACATGGATGCGCGCGCGTTGTCTCGATCAACAGGTCAAATCAGATACACCCTGTTGTCAAATCACATCACGCACGAGGATTCACCCACCCCGAAGTTTCCTTTTGCTAATCTTGGTAGAGAGCCCTGCTGGACTGAAAGGATGTTTCCGCTTTTGTTGTCCTTTCTCAACTATTTGGATCTATCAGCGCTATTAGATAATTATATACTATTTAGTCTCTTTGTTGAATGCCTTGCTTCACTGGGTGATCTTTACAAGGTCGGTGCTGAAGGAATTGCTGACGACCACGCAGAAGATGGAATCAGGTGGGCGCGTAGCCCGGAAAGCCTGGCTGTCGCAGACAACAGCGGAGTGTCAACTTCCTGTGCCACTTCCGGAAACGTGTTCCCTAATTGCTCCGATTCCAGAGAACCTGCTTTCCAATGTTTTCCAATGAAGCCTTGCTTACAATCCAGCAAGTCTTTTTGACAATTCAATTTGACCAACTGCCAGGTATGAACTCCATGAATTCCTCCGTGAGCCCTTCGTGGTTCTTGGGCCAAGCGCAAGGCGAACTAGGGTCGCTGGGGCCGTTGGCCACTGGCGGAGGGCACGACTAGGCTGCGATGTTTGGAAGTTGAGTTCGCACTGGAGGGAGGTAGCTAGTAGTAGCTAAATAGCTATAGTAGCTACTACTTGGGACGCAGGATAGCTCACGCTTCTTCCAGGAAGCTCCTAGGGCGGGGAGGAGCTTCCTTGAAGAGGCCGTCGCACTATTCATTTGGTTCCTAGACTTTTTGGGACACATACATATATATATATATATATCCTTTATATTGTTGTATTTCAGTCCAGCCACCTGCCTTGCCCCATTTAACCGCAGAAGACTTCAACATGCGACGAGTGCCATCGAATCCAGTCCGGCCAGATGTGGAAGGACCGGTGTCCGGAGGGAATCGCCTGCAGTCACATGTTGGTGCTGGAGATTGCCACTTAGAATACTTTTCACATGGTGACATGATTTTGTGCCCTCCAGCTGGAAATCGCAAGATTCCTTGATTCGACATTCAGGGAAGCTTGGTGGAGAATCTGAGTTGTTGGTGCGGTTGTGACTCAAATGCAATAAAGATAACATTGCAGTTGATCGAACTGGGAAGTGTTTGACACGTGACCGCGAAGACCAGGAGACACACCCATTGCACCCGTCCCCGGACGACGAAGCACCTGGGCTGTTGTTGGCTTTGGTGGTAGCGGGTAGTAACCGGGTAGTAGTGCAATAGGGGTGGTGGTGCTAGCACTGCAGCTGCGGGTGCAGGGGATCAGTTCTTGTTTGCCTTTGCCGTGAGGGACCTTTGCCAGCTAAGGATCAATCACTTCAAAGGCGACTTGGTGGAACATGGCGGGCCTTTAGCCAGCTCGTTCTATGAACCATGGCGAGCCCTGAAAGTAACTGGTGTTGGCTGTTCTCTTTGGATAATAGGAGGGTGGTGCCCAAAGACATGGTGTGCTTCTAGAAATCTGGGATGCTGATGGATTCTGATCGAACACAAGCGGGGTCGGGGCTGCCAACAGCTTCACATCTTTCGCACTGGTGCCATGTCCACACGAGGAGACTGGCAACACAGGACCCCGGTGGATTCATTTTTCCAGCAATATAACTTTGCTGCCGCTTGGGTTTCATGTGCCCGCTGGGATCCGCTCACTCCAAATAAGCAGGTGGCGCGTCCGGGACGTTAGGCGTGCTTCCGAGCCAGGTATTTGATATTTCCATGTTTGGGCCACCAGAAACCTCACAAAACACTCACATTTATAGCACCATACCACGAGATCAGGCAACGCAGATGGACGTGACAAGTGGTATGCATTCTGATTATACATTTGTCATTGCCAATAGTCTCGCAATGTTGCATCACATCTGCATGCATATTCTGTGCACAGTGCAGCAGGCTCTGACGAGTGTGCAATATACAGTTATTCCTTGGAATTTCAATGTTGTACGACTACGACACCAGGCCGGCCACTTCTGAACATATTTCTTTACAATGGTTTTGAAAAGGCTTTGAGCCTTGGGCATTCGTCCTCACCAACTGTCAAGACCGGCTGATCGAAGGCTTTCCCGGCTCAGGCGGCGAACGTGGCGCGGCGCCTGGTGAAACCCTTCGGGGGAGGCACCGGTTCCGACTCGTCGAGACCGAGGGCGGAACCGAAACGTGACTCCGAAACGAGAACGGGTTGAAATGGTGGGACCATTGGGCCAGAAGGATGCTTCTCCAAGATAAGTGGTGGTGTTGTTGTTTTTGTGGGTGTTTTAAGCTTTATTATGTACACCTTTTATATATATATATACATATATATATATATCCGTTTCGCTATTGGCTAGTGAGGTCGTTGCACCTTTCAGCTGATTTTTGCACTACTGAAATCCATATTGACAAGAATATGTGTACAATAAAGTCAGGCTTATAAATTCAATGATACATACAAAAATGTTTACTTACGCTATCTTAAGATGTCTCTCCAAATCGATTCATTTCCTGGCCCTGAGAACATTGACCTGGTGCTCGTGAATCTGGCATTGGTTCTGATATGTTGTGCTTGTTAAGAGCACCGTGGTGTCCGTTATATTTATGTTTTATTCAATCCTCATACTGTCAATGTCTCGGTTTTCCTGTTAGCATCAGGCAGCCACGCGCGTCCTGAAGAAGAGGTTCCGCTCTGGGCAGCTCATCCCTGATGCAGGGCAGGGAGAGGTGCAGGCCGACGGTAGTCAGCGCCTGGTGGACAGGTGTGGTTTGACTTTTGTCAAACTGTGGAAAAAGGCTCCAGCTTCCAGTGTGTTTGTTATCGTTTCAAAAGTTTCCTTACACTTTTGTTCAGTGGTGTTTGGGGGTATAAGTGAGCTTTTCATTTTCATACCGTTGAATGTTTATCTTGAGGTGCGCCCGCAATTGATTGAACAGTCCACTGCACCGTGAAGCCCAGCAACCGACTCCACAAAGTTAGCTTGCTCAGCAAAAGAACGCCAGTGTAGGAGCCTTGTCGAGTTGGGTGCTGAAGGTCAGACGCCCCATGTCGTTTGGTTGAGTGGTGTTATGCGTGGGCATCTGAGCCAGAGCACCCAGAGTAGGCAAAGAATCACGCTGTATGAGTAGAACCAGTTGCCTTATGATTATGGGTCAGGCGCTGTAATCCCAAGTCCTGTCAACACTTGACTTGGTCACCCAAACTGATGGTGGTTCGAGTTTGCCCCCGTCCGTTGTTACAAACTGCAGTATGAGTGAGCTAGACAGCTAGCCCAACAATATATATAAAATTAGATATATATAATAATAATGATAATACTTGTATATATATATATATAAATATTTTTTTTTTGTTTTTAAAATGTTGTTTTTCCAGAAGACGCTTTGCAGCATGTTGAAACGAGATAGCCTCATGGCATCTCATGGCTAATACCTGCTAATATTGACTATGGTTACCATCATGATCCATGTTGTTTCATTTGTTTTCTCTTCCACCTGTTGCGCAAGAGGACAGTTGACAAAACCCTCCTGAGTTACACCAGGCGAGCTTGTGCAGCATCACGGGTTAGTCTGGGCTGTCTTCCACTATTCCATTTGAGCTGATAGTTTTTGTAGTGTCACCCATCATGGGAGATTGGAAGTCTGGGGTCACATTAGTGGCCCAGATGTGGCCCTCTACAATCTGAGGCTCTTCGTCTTTCACACGATGTCCACGAACTACGTGCCTCGCCTTCTTTCGCCGCTCCCGGTGTTTGAAGGAAGTTCTATTGTTTGTTTTCTCCTTCGTTGGAACGCAGGGACGTCCAAGTATTTCTGGGCTTCGCTACCTTGTGAGCAGGAGTTGCCATATCTTGCCATGCATCAGCTTGAACGGACTACACCTCCTCAGCGTTGTTGGAAAGGTTTAATGTATCCTGAAGGCACCTCCAGATGGAACATTTTTGGACATGACTTCGTTTTGACTCGCAAAAGCCAAGAGTGACAATCCCCAGATCAGGCGCCTTGAAAATCCGACCTCTCATCCTTTGGAGCCTCCAACCGGCTACAGGTGTGGCATGTGTTGCCCAACATGTCATCCTTTGCCCGTTTTCCCTTCAACGGCGCGAGAGGTCACATCACTGAGAATGTGGTCGTCGCTGCGCTGGGGGAGCTAATGCCACAAACCTCTAGCGAGGTGCGAAGGAGGAGTTTGTGCCATGGCAACACGGGCGGAAGTGGGGGATGTGATGTGAAAGAACTAGGGAACCAGCAGTTCAAGAATTCGGGGCTTGAGAGGCACTTTGGGCACCTCCTGTCGAAAGAGTTCCTTCCTGTGCGCGCGAGCGCGAAGCTCGCAGGGTGGACCATGATGCTGGAGACACGTGGAGAAACCCAAGATGCTCCTTTTACAGACGAGAGACCTTTGAAATCCTTTGATTGGCATTCTTTTTTCAGTGGAATTGGGCGGGAAATGAGATGTGTTGGGTCATCATTTATGAGCCAAAACATCCAAACATGCAGATGAGCACTGCCTTCCATTCACTTACTGTATTGTGTATAGGGCTGAAGGATGCCCCAAGACGTGGCGGGAATCCCAAACGGCCGCGGCGTGGTGGATGTCAACGGGTTTGCATTCAGACCAAAAACCATATGCGGTCCCAGAATCCCTTCATACAATCACTGACCCACCAAAAATCAGCCCTTGGCCACTTTTGATGATGGAGCTCCTTGATCCGTTCTTACCCATTGCTGTATCCGTTCAAGTCCAAGTTTGGAGTTTGACACATCCCAGATTGCACTAGCCGCGCTAGCCTTGCTTGGTAGTTACCAAACACTATCCGCAGGCGTCAATCTTTTGAGAGATGGATGGGACCACCATGAATCGCAACCCTGCACAGCCCAAACTCGGTGGCCTTGCAGTGCCGACCTCCCTCACGTCAAATTCCAGGCAGCCGGCACTGATCAGAGAAGAGGAGGACGAGGCGCGCCGTTTCCACACAGCCAAGAGCACATTTGGGAGGTACAGAGTTGGTGGAGTTCGGGTTGGGAGCCTCAAAACTAAAGGAAATGTTTATATAACTTTCTTCCCTCAATTCTGCGCTGGAAGTCCCAATGTATTGTAAGTAACGTTGTGGGACGCATTCTACGATGTCTAATGCGTTAAAGACAGGTCAATGCTTCCTGCCATTTTTGAAGGGTCACATGTGTCAGGACTCATGGATCCATACTGCCATTTGGTGCAACTCCTAACTTATTCGTGGGTAGAACAGGATTATTTTCCGAAGGCTGATGCTTTGTGAGACCCCAACGCTGAAAACATGTATATATATATATATATGTCATGGACTGCGCAGTCATGTGTGCTTGCAGCTGAGGACTTGGACTCTTCCCATAGTTCAAGCTTCAGAGATCCAGGCAAAGAACAAGGGTCTGTCGGGTCGTGGGTGCACGGTGGTTCAGAGCAAGGGGGTAGGTGGGATTGCTAGTAGGTTGGAGGTCATCGCTATTGGTAGACAACATAGACATCATCATGTTGACAACATGTTTGATGAAGATTATACCGTCAAAGGTCCTTTGAGTGAATCTTCCACGTGTGCAGCACGAGAACTTGTTTGATTGTCTAGACTGTCGATGAAACAACTTATGCCCGAGGCAACTAAAGGAAGAGATGCAGGGCTGCTGAATGAAAGGATTGTAATTCCTGGCCACATTTGGGCACCAAGTCACTGCATGGTCACGAACAGGAGAGGGACGACGCTGACCAAAGTTTTTGTGATAGACCTCAGAAGGTTAACATAAAGCTCACAAGTCCAGAAGAATGAACCCATTTTGATAGCTTCTCTTCAGTTTTCGGCATGCCATGACAACATATTCAATATCATCATACGAAGAAGCTCCTGGCCCTGATTTGTCAGTTCATTCACAAAGGATTGCATTCACATTCACAAAGAATAGTTTACCAGGGGTTGGAGCTTTTTTAGAGGTAAACTCAAAACAAGAGTACCCACATTAGTTTGCATGCTCCTCCGCTCCTCAACAGTGAAAGGTGTGAATGTCCGCAACTCCTGTATCACCCTCTTTCCCTTCTCTCGGATTGAAGACGTGCGGCCGACATGGACAACCGAGATACTTGTAAGAATGGCCCGGTGTGAGTCAAACCTCAATAACCCTCACGGAGTCAAGCTGATGGAGCATGCATATGTATATCAACATGTTCCATGATCGTTATATAATGGTGCCAGATGTGTGATGTGAGCTGTGTATAAGTATATATATATACCCTTAAAGTATTTGATGTTTGACTCACAAGTTGGGGAGGGTTTGGTGGACGTTGATGGATGATCGTTCGCACCTTCTTCCAAAGGGCAGCTTCCTTGACATCATCCCGCAGGCAGCAGACCTTGGACAAATCCATTCGAAGAATCGTTGGGGTGCCAATTGGGAAGCAGCGAAGGATGGGTGGAACCCTTTTGGACACATGGGAAACGCAGCCGGGCCTTGATCTAGATGACCACAAAGGCAGAATCAATGGATATGATGGGAAAACCCAGGTGAGAGAAGAAAACACTGTGTCAAGGAGTTCAGTCTTCACGTGTCGCTTTTGTCAAGAGCAGTCTCATTCACTGCACAAGGCAACTAGGTCCAAACCAGGGTACGTCACAATGTGGGCGCAAAGCAGTGCAAAACAAGAAACACAATAAGCAAAAAAGTAATGTCGTGGCAAACCGTGCCTTTTAGTGCAACCACAGCTAGCACAGTCGTTGACTTGAAGAGAGTCACTGCAGAAGTTCAGCCCACCAAGGTATTCCAAATCTTCCCAGTACCAGTTATATAAGTTATGTTATATATATATATAGCCTCCAGGTCCAGGATCAAGTTGCAGGGAGTCCTGGCGAGGGCTAGTTTGGTGGGGCCTTCCTTTAGAGCCCGATATTGCCAGATGGCACGACGGAAGTCAAGAAACATGAGCAAAAAGAGAGGACAGTAAAGGACACCTCTGCCACACATGATGCACACGGTGAAGCATATTTGGATGTTTGGATGTTTCCCCGTTTACTCAGCTCAGGCGCAAGTTGTTAGCAGATCTAGAGCAGCATGGAACATGTGCGTACCAGGTTTGTTCCTAGTAGCGTCCTTGCTCCTAGTAGCGAGGCCAGGAGCCCCTAGTAGCGAACATTGTTACTACTAGTAAGGCACTTGTTCCTAGTAGCGATGCGCTTGTTACTACGTTCGTTTCCGATTCCCTCCTTTCACTTCCATGCGCCAAGGTCACACAGCAGAGGAGGGCAACTCGACTGCAATGGCCTTGGCCTATGACATAGGGAGCTCCCCGCGAGTCTTTTGTGCTAACCCATGCAAAGGTTCCCAAAGTGACCCCAGGGTGTGAACTTTCAGAGCAGCTTGGCACTGCCACCGCTGGAAGAGATCAATGCGATGGGGTGAAGCACGGTGAAACTGAGGAACGAGGATCAGAGCGTGATGTGCTTTCGGCTGCAGACGGGGCCAGGCTTTTGGGTCAGGTTCGGGCGGTTCGGGCGGTTCGGCACATCCAGCGTTTAATTCGATTCAATCCTTCGATTCAATAGTCAATAGTCTTTCAAGGGGACGTGGTCGCTGGTTCAGGGAGTAAGCTGGAGTTGTGCAACTAAATGCAGACAAGAACACACAGCTGGGTGGAAGTTATTACAGATAGAGAAAGCAAGGCAGTAAGACGTGTACAGTGGTTCAGAGTAGACGGCACAGACCCCAAGATGTCTTTTGGATGGGGGTCCATATAAACCACGTTTTGGGGTCTGGGCCATCTACTGTACTCTCAATCCTTTGTAATTATATGTTCTCTGAGAGCCGCATACTGTGAATTTGCCGACCGCGTTTTTGCCTTGCTGAAGAGGGGTTGTCTTCAGAGTCTTGGGCAGCAGAGGGCGTGGCAAAGCTCAGGCAAGCTGGGGTACCTTGGTCGGATGAGAGATGGAGATACCAGCTTCAACTACGGTATAAACCTTGCCACGGCTGAGGACTCCGAGTAGCCCGATGCTGGAACCGATCCTACAGCCAAGCCCCATGCAGGCCCGCACAGTGGCGTTTCGGTTCGGAGGTTCCGAGTGTCAAAGAACAAGGCCACAACTGGCAAGTTGGAGGGGTAACAGTAGTAGGGGAAACATATAGTCTACCCAGATCTTCCCATCTCAGATTCAAGAACGCTCGATTGCTTTTGACCTTGTTTGTTCTTTTCAAGATAGAGAAGCTAACGCTAGTGGTTTCACAGTGCATCATGCGGGTGCACTGGTCGCATTGTCAAACGTTTCCTTCTTTCTGTCAAAGCTTTTTGGGAGACTAACAGGTGCGAAGATGACCGCACATGTCATAAACCTGCTTTTTCTCAGCATGATGATCATCCACGCAGAAGTTGCCCTGAAAATGAAAAAGGGGTGATTGAACGGTTTTTCTTTCCGCTGAAACAGAAAGAAGATCATTATATAATTGGATCGCTGTTCCCTTTCGCGGGATACTGCAACCAGGAAAGATAGAATCAGATCACTCCTCATTTCGATGTATATCCTTTTTTGCACAATCCCTGACTCCAGGGACTGCCATCAGGTAAACCTAGGTGCTGCAGTGCTGCCATTCCTCCAGGTGGAGCCGGATGGCGCTCCACTCGCCAAAGAACGGACCATCGTTCCTGTCTGAAGGCAAGCCGCCGCGGGTTGCCAATCGGGTGTGCCGCGTGTACAAATTCATGAAATTCCAACTCCACTTCGCGACCAAAAAACGGTGGTCACTCAGTTTGAGATGCACACATAGCAGACAGGACATGCCCACGTTTGCCTTTCAGGTTGGCAACAGCGACCAGGTGAGACTTGTTTAATGATTGTTTTTTGCATTCAGTATTCTCATTCAACTTCTTAAAGTGATCAAATTTTGTCTGGGCAACTTGTGCTGGTTGAAACATCTGGTCGTCCTGAACTTTCTCACATACCTTCTTCACGATTGTAACATTACAAATCTTGGCAATCCGACATATATGCCCTCTGCCTCTGCAGGACCTTCGCTCACCCAAAGGGTCAGCGCTGCGCCACTCGGTGAAGAAAGCCAGTTACTTCGCCACCACCGGTGTGGGGGTGTGGGGGTTGGGGCGCATGAACGCATGCTCGCAGAGCTTACATTCATTCCGTTCCGGCCTGTGCTTTTGAAGCGCACCTGTGTTTTGTCCCATGTGTCCAGGTTCACTCGCGTTCTGATGCAAGAAAGGGAGGGACGAACACTTTTTCTAGGGCGGGCTCTTGACACCTGGGACCTACATGAACATGCCAAACAAGCTCAATAGTTGGAACCCAGTGATCAGTCCTTCGCCCTTGGTTCTGGTGGACCACCCAAAGACACCTGCTTCCTGGTAGTTTATCCTTTTGTCTTGGGGGGGGCTTGAAGAAGGACATGCCCTCGAAACATACTCACAGGAAGAGTGGTGTCCTGGTTCAGGGCTACGGCAGAGAGCTCCGACCGGTACGACTTGCCGCCGCCAGGTCTTACAAGACTGTTTGAAAGTTTGAAGAATGAGAGCAATCTGATGAGATGCGTTTGATTTTTTGTATTCTTCGACATTGGGCCATTGACTTTGACATTTGTTGGGCAGCCCAAGTTTACAAGGAACAACGACCATTTCCACTTGACAGGGCCTTGTTCCTGGAAGCAACCGTGTTCCCAGCTTTTGAACAGCCATTAGCAGTGCCACAGAAAGCCCTCGTCTTGCACTTGCAGACTGCCCATGTGGGCCATGATGCCTCAGCTCCCTTATTGTCAACGAAGCGTAACTTGCGGCTATAGGCAAAAGTGACCTACGGCCTCCAACCTAATGGCGATGGCCTCCAACCTACTAGCGGTTGGCTCGGGTTTCCAGTCATTGGCCCAGACTTCCCATCCGCCGTGAATGGAAGTTCCGGCTGCAAGATTCCGAGTGGGAGGTCAGCAGGTTCGCTGACCGAATTCCGAATCGGAGGTGCATCCTCCATTCTACTGGTTCGTCAAACCCTGAGAAACATCAAAGAAAAGAACAACGTGACTGGTGACGAGGTCAAATGGGGAAGACCGGAAGACCTGTAAAGGTAAAATCCACAACACCCTAATCAAATGCAATGCCCCCCTGATCAAGTGCCAAACCCAAACCTGTATTGTGAACCATTTTTCATGTCGTCAAGGGTTTGAAGAACCCACCCCTTGCAGACCTGGAAGCTGCTAGCTAGTGCTAGCTTTGCGGGTCTGTACAGGTCGATGAATCGATGAAATGAATGAACGGGGCCACCTGGAGGACCACCATGGCCCACCGCCTGATGATGCTGCCCAAGTCCAAATTTCTAGTTTTTGTGTGGTTCAGCAGACACCAAATCTGGGTGGAGGGGCGCGGAAGCTTTGCGAGAGCAGCCAGAATGGTCGAGTCTATTCTCTCGAGGAATTGAGGTCCAAGATCCGACGAGAAAAGGGTTCATGTCCCATCAGACTGTACTACATCAATGCCGCGCCAGAGGTTGCAGGTTGAAGGCGAAGAGAAGTCATTGGCGTGGCACTGCTGCCACTTACGTAATTATAACTAGTCACTACTTACGATATTTTCCTCAGGAAATCCAATTCCGCCAGATCAAAAAAACATGCAGGTATGCACACATGATTCGCATCTCCCCGAATCTCCCCTCATTCACCTCATCGGCCAGGTGCGAATGAATGGCGGCTGGACTTGGCTGCCGAAAAAGGAACCGGGGCATTGGTGGTTGTGCTAATGTCTCACAAGGTACAGTCGGTTGCCCCACCACACCCTCGCAGTCTCCGGAGCAGTGTGAAGAACTAGATAGTGCGCTGTCTTGTTCTATTATAGTAGTCTGAAGACGTGCTTTGATCCGAACTTTTATATGACAGGGGGCTCAAGCCGACGGCCTTAGTTTGGTGGCCAACCATGATTCAATACGCCATTTGCTGCACATGCTGCTGTGTGACCCTCAACATCGGGCTGGGCTTCGCCCTGTGGGCTTCGGGTGTGTTTCTAAGCAAAGCCAAGGCATGGGAAGTGCACACCGCTTGGCGTCAGACAGAGTGCAAGGTCTTGGTGGCTGGTGTCAGCTGCGTAGATGACGAAAGTAGGAGCACCTGTGGAGGCTACAAAGCCGGCCAAATGCCAACACAAGACGTCCCAGTCTTCCTCACTGAGCAGATTGCGGTGTGTCCGGGGACCTATTGGCGACTTGGACCGGACGAGATGCATTCCCCTGCATCCCCCTCATCAGTTGACTCTCCATGCCTTTTTTGGGCACCTCATTGTAAATCCTCCACCCTCCACACTACTTACCATCACTTATCCAAGTTTCACGCCACAAGATGTCAGAGCAGAGGAAGGATCCCAACTTCAGGGATGACTCATTATGTTAAGTTTTCTTAAAAGTCTAGGAACCCAAGACTTGTAGGTAGTAGCTACCTCTTCTACTAGCTACCTCCAGCTACTATCAGCTACCGCCTACTCCCCCCATCAAAAAATATGTAATTTTTTGGGGGTTTACTTCGAATCAAATTTTGTCCACTACTTGTAGGTGCTCCAAGGAGGGGGAGGAGTGCAACTGTACCGGCGAGATCACCTTCAGTGCGGAGCTCTTCGACGGCTATGTCTACACCGTGCCCGCCGTGGAGCAGTCCTATAAGGCTGGACGCAATAAACAATAAAAAGCATCCCGCAGACACAGATGGCTCAGTCTATTTTTGTTTGCATGAATTCTGCGGGAACTGTGTGTAGGTTCATACTTCTTTTTTCTATGCTTTTCTTAAGTATGTTTAAATACTTTTGCTTGGTGTGGTTTCGAAGAGTGTCGACAAAAGGGGAGAATACTACCTCTCGCGCCGGGCCTTCAGAGCCAGGTGCAATCCAAAGGCACGTGGAAGTGCGGCACAAATCAAGCGGGGCAGCCCTACAAGGCCCGGGTTTGGGAGGCGTTGGAGAAGCGTTCGGATGAAAGGCAGTCGAATTCTGGGATAAAGTCGAGTTCCGCAACTGCGCAGGATTCCGCAACTAGGATTCCGCAACTGTTTGGTCGGATTCCGCAACTGGGATTCCGCAACTAGGATTCCGAAACTAGGATTCCGCAACTGGGATTCCGCAACTGGGATTCCGCAACTACGATTCCGCAACTAGGAGTCCGAAACTAGGATTCCGCAACTGTCAGGATTCCGCAACTAGGCTTGCGCAACTAGGTTTCTGCAACTGGGATTCCACAACTGGCGTTCCGCAACTAGGATTCTGCAACATTGTGGATTCCCTCACTAGGATTCCGCAACTTGAATGATGAGGGGGTTGGCGTGATGTCAAGATCACACGATGGGGACAAGGGGGGATTGGGGGGTGGGGGGGTTGGGTGGGGGTCTAATGACGTTGGTTTGGATGTGCTTCAAAGGTGATGTCACAGGCACACGCTATTGCATGATGTGGAGATCTCCAGTTGCAAGTTTCAGAAGGCAAGTTGCAGAATCTGACTTTCCAGTTTCAGAATACAAGTTTCAGAATCCCAGTTTCAGAATCCTAGTTTCAGAACCCCAGTTTCAGAATCCTAGTTTCAGAACCCCAGTTTCAGAATACTAGTTTCAGAAGCTAAGTTTCAGAACCCTAGTTTCAGAACCCCAGTTTCAGAACCCTAGTTTCAGAATCCGACCGATTAGTTTCCGAATCCGGCTCTAACCCGAATTCTGTCCAAAGAGTAGTGATCACATCGCGCACTGCATTTGGGAGCCTGTGCAAGCAATGTTTCGTCACTTTCCTCACCTCATCGTGTCCAACATGTGTCGTTTGACCGAGGTCGATCCAGCACCTTGGCGTGTGAAGCATTGCTGGTGCACGCCAGAAGGCATTCAAGAAGTGATGCAGCCCTTCGGAAACAACTTGCACAAGAAAGAGTGCTCCGAAGCAGCGAACTTCGACTTTGAAGAGGTGCGAGTGGCGTGAGGGTTGGCCCAAACGAGCAAACGGGCCAGCAAGGGGGGATTTTTGGGGAGAGAGTTTAGGATTGGAACACGGGCCCATCATGTGACTTTGGGTGAAAGGAGGGTGGCCACAGCATGATTGTTTATCCCGTCCAGTTGCTACCTAAGCTTGGATCAAAGGTGATGACTAAGGAGCTCCGGGACCACCTGACGCATCCAATATCGCGTACATACCACGATCTACAGCGAGCTCTGTACTTGAACACCTGTCATTGACGGACTAATTTTTTGTTCTCTCTTTTGAAGCCCTCGGGGGGATTCCATCAAACGGAGAATCACTGGGGGAGGCTGCACCACCTATCTACTTCGGAAGGTTGGCATCTCCCCTCACCGCCAGGCCTCCGAGAGGCGCCTGGCCACAGCCAAGGCGCGGCGCCTCTTCCAACGTGTGCGCGAGCGCATAGTGGCGGCGACTGCGGCGCCGCAGCGGCAGCTGCACGATTCTCGAAGGCGGCGCACCTATCGCTACACACCCTGGGCGCTGGTCACAGTGGAGGAGGGGAGACGGGAAAGATGGTGGAAGGCAGGATGAACGGGGCCTGAAGAAAATGGGATGCTGAGACTGAAAAGATCCGATGTTTTTGGGGGCATGCTTCCCTCAGGAGTGCAATGAGGGGTTGGGGTTTGTGAAGCACATGGGGCGATGGGGGCGATTGGGGTCGGTCTTGTTCCAGGATGGTGACTGGGTGGGGGACACCGATGAGACGGCCACAAAGCCGATCGTTTGCGCCTACGAGTACGGGGTTCCTCAAGCCTCTGGGCAGTTTTACCACGGCGATGGGCCCTACAGTGGCGGTGTGTGGGATGCGGAGAATGTGGCGAAGAACTGGGGCAACCTGGTTTGTACCATGTTTTGTCCTGACCGATCGCATTGGCGGTGTTTTGCGGGCAGTCTTGTTCCGCCGGGTTGATTCATAAACGCAATTGATGTGCTGTATAGATTTATGTCTATATAGGCGTATTTATTCCTCCTTTCCTTCTGAAATCTGAAATCCTTGCCAAGCTGGCACCTCAGCTAGCCAGCACAGGGCAACAAAGCATGGCTTGGCCATAGATCCTACATCACAATTCACCACATAGCACGTCACTACACAACCTCATAGGTGCCCACCTTGGAACCACACGACAGGCAATTCCACACATTATGTCAGCAACTTGACTTCATGTCACCATCACGAATCACCAGACATCACATCAAAACACTGACAATTGTTGCACCACTTATTCCTTTCCACTACTGTAATTACATTGCACATTTATGGACAATGTGAGCATCACATCACACCTTGTACTTTACCATATGTCACATCATCAAATCACTGCAATGCAGAGACGACTCGAACATGACTCTGTGACTCGACGCGTCGACGTGGTGTGCAGGGGGACATGGCCTCTTGGCCAGGACATGTGTCCATCATTCTTCCAGATTGGTTTCCTACTGGCCCCTTTTGGTGCAAATTCAAGGCAATGACTCCCGTCGAGCCTGCTGGGTGCGGACGAGGGGGCAGGCAGGCCAGCCAGATGAATACTGCTCTGTGGCGCTGGTGGTGCCAGGGACGATGACAGAGAAAGCAGAAGGTGGGCAATGGATGGCAAGGGGCAGTAACATTTTTGGGTGTGCAGGGCCAAGTTGCAAGTTCAAGCATCAGTTGCGTTGAGTCATGTCACATGTCATTTTTGGTTCTTTTTTTGTCGGCCAGTCAACAGGGATTTTGTTGCAGTGTGCACTCAACCAGGGGCTGCCATTGACCTTGGCTCGGTTGCTTCAGGTGCTTGGGTGCTTCTATGGCCCCCCCCTTCTGCAGGGTCCTAGTAGCGATGCCCTTTGTTACTAGTAGCGGTGCCAGGAGCTACTAGTAGCGCGTCCTTGCTCCTGGTAGCGATGCCCTTTGTTACTAGTAGCGATGCCAGGAGCTACTAGTAGTGTCCTTGCTCCTAGTAGCGA